CTCCGTCAAATTAACGTCAGTTCCGTTAATGCCAGTGCCGGTTTCGTGTCACACAACGCGCGCGCCGGGCTCACCGTATCGGCGCGCACGTGCTCATGCTCGTGTGTGCGCGCGCGCGGGCTCGAGCATAGATTTACGCGCCCCCCCTCCTCCTCCTTGCATCTCGACTGGTGCGGTGTGCGTATTTACGCACGCACTTTGCGCGCCCGTCACCCCCCCTCCTCCCTCCCTCCTCCTCCCCCCCCACCCCTTCCACGAGCAACAGAGGAGAGGAAAATGAATGTCCCGACTCATTTATCACATAGCCCCAAAAGTACAGATGAATCCAGTGATGAAAATCTGTCCTGAGAAATGTCAGGAAGATATTAACTCCAATACATCAAAGTGGAGCTGCAGTCTCGGAGCTGACTGCCAGCCCATGCTCCAAGCCTTTGGTTAAATAGGGGGGGTGTGGGTGGGGGGGTAGTGGGGGTGCACACTAGCGCCAAATGTAATTTTTGCCAACTCTGACCATTTGTCACACAGAAACGAGTAAATAAAGACACAAGTCACTTCCATCCAAAGATTAACATCCGAAATGGTGCAGAGCGAATTTCATTAGTGCGCAAATGCCATTCTTTAGATCTGTCTGATCCCAGTGAAGTGTGAGGGAGTGGAGGGGAAAGAAAAGGAAGAGGGAAATTGCCTTTTCATGTAGATTTCACTAATCGCTTCCCTAACAAAATACGGCAGACTTGTACTAATAAGTAAGTTAAGGCTCAGTGGACAGATAGAGTGAAACGGCACAGAGGCTAATGGAATTGAAAGCTTTCCATGCCTCCATGGGCGTCTTAATTGTCAAAAGGAGACTCTCGGATGCGCGTTTCCTCCTGGATTTTGGGAAGCCTAAATTGGAGCGAGTGGCTCACTGGACTTGTTTTAAGTCGGAGCTTCTGTGGTGTGGATCAAATCCTCGATCCAAAGTCTGCAAGCGGTTCACGCTTGTTTCTTTGGAGGCCTAACACCCGCCAATGTACGCTTTTTTTCCCTTTTTTTTTTTTTTTTTAAATGCAGCCAAAGGGGGACTGCTGTCGGCTCATATAAAAAATCCATAACTTCTGCTGTTGTGTGCTTTTTTCATCCTGCAGTGGATGCATTATGGGCTCATTTATTTTTGCATAGATTTATCTTTTCATAAATATTCATTCCGAATGTCACATATGTGAGTCATCTGAGAGAGGGAGAAAGAAAAAAAAAAAAAAAAAAAGAAGTATATTGCTTTTTCAATCACAGCCAGCTTGGATTTATTGGCTCGGGGTTGCTATTGTTAACAGGCTACCTTTACAGTGATCTATTTTAGTGCCTCTGCTCCTGCTGGTTATTACAGAACTAGAAAATTCCGAACCACCGTGCTTCATTAGGAGTGAAATCAGAGTGCCGGGGAGTCCGTGAGAGGTGCGGAATGCGCGTTTAATCTCCAAAGGTCAACGTGCGCGCGCTATTTTGGAGATTCACCGCGGGCTTATAATTGGGGGTGGGGGGGCTTGTTTGAAGACAACGAGGAATTAAACGAGGACAAAGTTAGGGAGGCTGGCGCTTGGCCTTTGATGAGAACCAGGAGGTGAGGGCCCTTCATTTGCAACCTTTAATCAGTCCGGCGAGATCCGACTCACGTGTGATTGTAGAAGAAAAGAAAGGGAAGGAGATGTGGTGGTGGTGGTGGTGGGGGGGGATAAAATGGTAATTAGTATTGATTACCTATGTGCATATGACCCCGTGCTCTCCTCTTGCATTCTTAAATCAACCCAGATTATTGGATTTTTCTAATTTCATGCTCAGAGAGAAGCAACCAGCAACATGAAACTGCCTCCACAATTAACCACGTGGTCATGGAGGTCTGAGGAAATTATGACAAAGAGAAACAAGTCTGTTTTTTGGGGTTTTTTTGGGCCCTGTGAACCTGAATTAACGACACTGGTTAAAGTCAGGGATGATAATTATTCTTTGGGACTGTCTGTCAGGACTGTAGGTGATTCAGGTAGCTTTTTTCCTCCAAATTCCATTTCACATCCCTCCACTGTCGCCAAGCGATGGCTTCCACCCAGCCATATATGTATGTGATCACTCACAGCTAGTACGAATGGGGGGGGGGAGGTCCGTTTAGCCAGGAAAAGAGGAGCCCAATTACATGTATACACAATTATTACACCCATGGGAAATTGAAATTTTTCTTTCAAATGATAAGATTAATTCCTAATTATGGATGCGCACGTGCTCGTGCACGCTGGCGCGAGGCCTGGCGCGCTTAATCTGCTTTGGTAATGAGCCACCACGCAGCCCGGACCGCGTGGAGAGGAAGTGGACAAAGTGATGGAGGGAATCCGTGTCACGGTGGACCCGGTGAACCGGGGACTGGTGAGGAGAGCACGGCGCGCTGCCGCCACCTGCTGCCTCCACGTTTAAATCATGACCAGACTGTTGATAACCGGTTAAAATGTCCAGTCCAGGTAAAGAAAGCTCATTTTTCAAACTGTTAGTTTGAATAGAAGTTCATCTTTTTTACTATGTTGATGGAACGGTGCAGTCTTTTGGATTTGGGTTTCATAACTATCTTTTATTGTCATTAACAAGAAACAAATAAGATTACTTAAAAAATATATAGGATTAGGTACTCTAATCTTTACTGATTTACTTTACTGTTGATACCCGGATAAAATGTCCAGTCCAGGCAAAGAGAGCTCATTTTCCAAACTGTTAGTTTGAATAGAAGTAAATCTTTTTTACTATGTTGATGGAACGGTGCGGTTTTTTGGATTTGGGTTTCATAACTACTTCATAATTACTTAAAAAATATATAGGATTAGGTACTTTTATCTTTACTGATTAGGTAGATATTGGAGTACATTATTAGGTTGTAGCGAAAGTCGATCTTTTTTACTATGTTGATGGAATGGGGCAGTTTTTTTGGATTTGGGTTTCATAACTATCTTTTATTGTCATTAACAAGAAACAAATAATATTACTTAAAAAATGTATAGGATTAGGTGCTCTAATCTTTACTGATTAGGTTGATATTGGACTTCTTCGTTATTGGGTTGTATAGCGAAAAACTATCTTAAAAGCCTCCAACTTAACCAAAGTTCAGATGTTTACTAGGAGAGATCATATTTCTCCAGTTTTAGATCCTCATCACTGGCTCACTGTTCACTTCAGAATAGAAATAAAGATTATCCTCCACAAATAAAGCTTACTGACCAAACACATCACATCCTAAATAGGATACCCGGGTAAAATGTCCAGTCCAGGCAAAGAGAGCTCATTTTTCAAACTGTTAGTTTGAATAGAAGTTCATCTTTTTTACTATGTTGATGGAACGGTGCAGTCTTTTGGATTTGGGTTTCATAACTATCTTTTATTGTCATTAACAAGAAACAAATAAGATTACTTAAAAAAATATATAGGATTAGGTACTATATCTTTACTGAGTAGGTAGATATTGGACTTCTTCGTTATTGGGTTGTAGCGAAAAACTATCTTAAAAGCCTCCAACTTAACCAAAGTTCAGATGTTTACTAGGAGAGATCCTATTTCTCCAGTTTTAGATCCTCTTCACAGGCTCACTGTTCAATTCAGAATAGAAATAAAGTTTATCCTCCTCAAATAAAGCTTACTGACCAAGCACATCACATCCTAAATAGCTCATAAGTCGTTATTTTCCGTAACAGAGCCCTTTACTCTCAGACTGCTGGTCCATTAGTGGTCCCTAACTTTAAAATGTCTTAAAAATACATTTTCCTTTTTTTTTTTAACGAAGATTAGAGGTATGGATGGCCCAAATGATGCTGCTGGAGGTGTGGACTTCTGGGGGAACCTGCCATGATGCAACTCTCCCCCCTCCGTTCTCCTTTTTCCTCTTCCTCCATCGGACGTTAGTGTTGTTTTAGCCTCCTTTTTCTCAGCAGGTGTCCCCAAGCTCTTGAAATTGTGCTTTCTTTCTGTCTGTCTTTCCTGTCCTCTCAAACCGCAGCTGGTCCAGGTGGATGCTCATCCTCTCTGGTTCTGATTTAGGAGGTTTATACCCCTTCAAAGGGAGTATATTCTTTGGTCGGGATGGGGGAATGGAGCAGAGTGAAGATTTGGTTTCCTTAGCTGAGACTTTGTTTTGGTTAAGTGGCTTTGTATGAATTGGAATTGATTGGATTGTGAGTGTATTACTATTAATTGGGTCCTAATTGGCCTGAATTTAACTGTATCTCTGAAGTGCCCTGAGATGACACTTGTTGTAACTTAGTGTTTTAGAAAAAAATTTAATAAAAAAAACAAAACAAAAGAAAAACAAGACAACAACCAGTTGGTTACACTTCTCTATTCTGATTTTATTCAGTGGGAAACCTTTGTATCGTACACATCTAACTTGTTGGTGCAATGACAGACGGCTACTCCATAAAGCGGTGCCTATGGCACGACTGTTATCGTCATATCCATGTTTACAAGCAGAAATAAACACCGTTAAAAAGATAAATATTAGTTTTCAGTGTAAAGCACAGCACGCAGCTCTCGTGACTGGCGGCGGTGGGACACCGTTGCGTCAGTCTCGTGTAAATATGCTGAACCTCGCGCTCGAGCTAGGCCGACGTTTTTTTTTGTGTTTTTTTTTTACTGCGGATACAGTTTCTACTCCGTCCTTGTGCAGCTCCGGAATCAGAGCCTGTCTACGCAACTTGAGACGGAGAAAGTGCAATTTGAAAACAACAATGACGCTAAAACATCCACGACAACGGGGTGGGGTGGGGACACACACATACACACACACACACACACACACGCACAGATGCATGGCGGGACACGTGTTTTTTTCGTTTTGATCGTTGGGGGGGCGCGGAGGGAAGGGCACAGTTTCTCATAATGGGACAGAACGGCACGCGGGGCACGATGAGGGAAAATTAACACGGTGATGTCGGCCCTTTTTTCCGGGGGCTCTTCGACGACGGGCGGGGTGACGCTTTGCGAGGGGGGGGCTTTCACATGGCCACCGAGGCGTCCGACTCTTTGGGCCGGGTGTGGATGACGTGCTCCATCTGGCCCGAGTCGGACACGTCGTAGCTGGTCTTGTACTTGGCCAGGATCTTCATCAGGGGGCGCAGCTTCAGCCACCACTGCTCTTTGGGGATCCTGTGACTGCGGACAGACGAAAAGGGTGAGGACGGCGTGACGAGGTCAGCGTTTTTTTAGGGGTGGGACGGTTCACAAAATCCACGGTTCGGTTCGGTTCACGGTTTCGTGGTCACGGTTTTCGGTTCGGTTCGGTACATGTTGATTGTTAGGAAAATCTATTATGTCTTGTATAGTCAGGTTAAAACTGAAAGAAAAAAGCAGTCTGACATTTGATCCATTATTGTGACAGTCTGAGGTTAAAAGTAGGCGAGATTTTGGCATTGCAAGCGAGGAAACAGTGCTAATTCCAACCTGTGCTTCCCTCTAAATGCAAAGTGGTCCCATACAGCAGAATATAAACTGCTGTTGGCGGTCTGATTTTTTATCGACTACGCTGCTTCTTCTTCTTCTTGTTTCCTACTGGTGGTTGGCTTTGGGCGCAGTAGCGCCACCTTCTGCTCTGGAGTGTAAACGCTTCCCTCTGAGAAAAACGAGCAGTGCATGAACCGAACGCAACACACCCGAACCGAACCGAGACAGTCGAACCGAACGGTTCGGACGGTTTTCAGAAACCGTCCCATCCCTAGCGTTTTTTGTTAGTTTTTTGGGCGGGCTGCCTCGGTACGTACACAAAGTCGGTGTCCTCCCTGAGCTGCACGACTGGCTGGAAGACCAGGGCCCTGGCCCGCATCCCCAGCAGGCAGCAGGTGTCCTCCGTGTTGGCAAACACTCGGCCTGCGGGGAAACGTGGCAATCAGAGGAGGAAGGTGCAACGGGCAAACGTACGGCAAAGACAAGGGGTGGTGTAAAAAGTAGCAATGGAGTTTTCTTATTCTATACTAGCGAGTGAAATCAAACAAGTTCGAATGGCACAGAAATCCTAACTAATACTAAGAAGCAACCTAAAGCAGCAAAGACATACATGAAAATGTGGGGCAGAGCGGCAAAGGCAAACGTTTTTACACTTGTCGAGGTATGAAATGGGTTCAATTATGCAGAGTATGTAAGAAACGCCCATGGCTGTACCCCACACTGCTTCTAATGGGTAACAAAATGACAAACAGGGACATGGAGCTACATAGAAACATGGTCATGGAGCCAACGGGGAGAAAACAAAAACAAGGATTTACCTTCATCTTATGTCATCCATATGTAAGGGAAACAAGACAGATAAAAAAAAAAGAATTTTTAATTGGATTGTGGGATTTGTCATTATTTATCACTCACAGCTGTTAATATCACCATTGAACTGTTAAAACAGTTGTTGTAAATTATCGATAATTAATATCCTCTGAGAGGAGGAGGAAAAAAAAAAAAAAAATTGCTGGGACGGAGTGACTCCATGACAGGTCTGCTTCACAACGGCCACGCCTCTGCGGGGGGGTGGGGGATCCGCTACGGTAACCACGGCTCTTCTACCGGCTAACGGGTGGAAACATCCAACTGTACCTCGTCGGAAGGTCTCCTCCAGCCTCTGGGAGAGCCACTGCATGGCCTTGGCTGAGATCTTGGTCCCGAAGTTGCGGTCGAACGGGGACGGCGCTCCGCCCTGTCAAAGGAGAAAAAAGCACGGGTCAAATCTACTCTATTTTTCCCCATCTGTTTCTGTTGGAACGTCTAGATTTTTAGACTTTTCCAACCTGCTGCATGTGTCCCAGGACATTCTTCCTGCAGTCAAACACGCCCTTCCCTTCTTCCGTGTACAGCTGGTATATGAAGTCTGTGGTGTAGTTCTCGTTGCTGTTCTCGTTCCTAAACACGGAGAAGGCGTTACCGGAGCTGCGTTTACGTTTTTCTCTCCTGCCGAGCTGAGATATTCTCACCTCAGGACCAGTCCTCTTTGAATGCTGGTCTTCATTTTCTCCGTCAGATGTTCCACGTTAGCCTGTGAAGGAGAAGAACAGGTGGTGCCTGGGAGAACGGCAAAGCAACACGTGACCCCGTTGAGAGGTCCAGGGGGGCATTCATTTGGCCTAAACAGGAATAACATTAAGAAACACTGACAGGCTAGGTTAAGATTATCTAATGTCTGGTGGTATTTAGCAAAGAGAAATGAGGGGACGTTCTGTCCTCAGAGGGGAGTGAAGGGTTAGATGGAAAAGGTTAAGCCCAGATGGTTGCACTGTGCAGGCATCTGGGACTCACTGATGTACAAATGGATGTAATTATTAACAAGGTTTTAAAACACCATGGACAATTAATCCAAAAGAAACCTTTTCCCGTCAAAGCTTTTACAGATCTACCATCGGTAGGTATTTGCTTGGAATGAAAACAAAGTCATACCAGCTCACGCGAAGCAGAACCAGAGATGTGCCACAAATTCCTCCCACCCATATATGATATATGGGCCAATTTTCTTTACAGACATATTTACTTTAAGGCAAATGGGTCTGGGCTCTTAGGGTATAGTAATTTCATTTAACTTTTGTAAACCCCTTAGCCTAGGACTTGATGGAAAATAGTTAAACACAGTATAACGGCGACTTTTTTGTCTCTTTGTAGCACGAAAACTGACCACAGGAAACCGTCTACATCAACACGCCAGCATTGGATCCAGACCAACGACAGAAGCTGGACTGATCTGCACTATAAAAAGGAGGCTGGTTGGGAAGCTTTTCGAGTTATTGACCAGTTTCGCCAGAATCGTGTGCGGTCAAAAATCTATGGACGTGCTCCATGATCCACGGCCCACAGATCTGCCTCCGATTGGCTGAGGCCGGACGTGCCTTCAGAGGTCTGTTTGGATGAGTGAGGGCTGGGAGCGCCTGCGGAACATCATGGCGATTTTGTCATGCTGTGTGTTACCTGCAGGTCTCTGATGTCGAATGGCTCCTCGTAGATGTACGCGGCGTCGGCCCCCGCCGCCAGGCCTCCCACGGTGGCCAGGTACCCGCAGTAGCCGCCCATGGTCTCGATGATGAACACGCGCCGCTTGGTCCCGCTGGCCGACTGCTTGATGCGGTCGCAGGTCTGGCACACACGCACGCACGTCAGCTCACACAACTCGAGTAAAAAAAGCTCGGGGCTGGGTCAGGCTAAAGGGGCTCTGTGTGTGTTCGTGTGGGACTGTGTGTGTCAGAGCTAACATCAGCAGGAACAGCAGTGTGGTGGTTAGCACCTGTACTGTTAGCGTGTGATATAATCCGCATGGGAAAACACAACAGAAAAAAAAACATCAGGTTGCTCATTTAAACGATTCACAGACTGAGCCTAAACGCTGCTTTCTGTTGACACACTGGAGTCCTGGAGAGGATAAGAGAGCACAGATTTTCTTTTTTTATTCTGATAATCACCTTCATATCACTTTGCTAACATTAACTCATTGACTGCCAGCCATTTTCAGAACAGAGAGTCCCATACTGCCAGTTTTTTGAGCATTTTGACTGATTTTTCAAGAGCCACAGAATAGTTTGTGCTATGACTATGTAAACACCGAACACACCAAAAGAAAGAGTAGACTCTCTTCTTTCATCAGGAAAGAAAATTTGTTTCTACCTTATTCAGTTCTTCCTCGACTTGCGTCTCACCGGCGACATGTTCTCTCATAGCGAACCGTTACCTTTTTCTTATTTGCCTACAATCTATGCTCATCTCCCATCAAAAGTGGCACTGCCACCTAGAGGGTCAATTTGTTACTACATACTCTGTCTAGAAGCCTGATATTTATGGACAAGCTTTAGCAGATCGTCCCCCAAGCCACTCTCGTTGAAAAACATAAAATACGTCTATAGAAGTCTTTGGCAGCCAATGAGTTAAGGATAAATAGAGAAACTATTCATGTTTTTTCTTTTCTTTTCTTGGACATTTAAGGTTATTGTTATCACTTTTCTGACCTCTTAGGAGGTCAGAGCTCTGACCGGCTGGCGGCTGCCTTACCTCCACAATAGCATTGAGGGCCGTGTCTGCCCCAATACTTAGGTCTGTGCCCGGCACATTGTTACTTATGGTGGCAGGCAGCATACACATCGGGATGCAAAACTCCTCAAAGGTAGCACGAGCCTCATACAGCTGCAGCAGACATTCAAGCGCCTGAAGCGTCAAGTCAATGAAAAAAAAACAAAAAAACAAAAAAAACAAACAAACGACAACGACAAAAAACAAATGCGGTTAGAGCCAGTCGAGAAGGGGCCGGCCGCTGAGAGAGTCTCTCAGCTTTTGGGAGCGTATCCTGACATTCCGGCTTTTTCCGTGTGATAGCCGCGGTGGCTTCCCTTTGGCAAAGAGGAAATGGGGGGGGGGGGGG